ATGTGTTAGAAACAAAAACAAAATGATAAAAAAGTCCGAATGGACTAGACAGAGGATAAAACAAAGGAAAACCAGAAAATGCCAAAGTTGTTCATGTTGACCCAAAAATCTGCATATTCCACCACAAACCATCAGCAGCGGCAGACACTGGTTAACCCCAATTGAATGATAGTACTAATAATATAATATACATAATCTTTAACAGTATTGGGTAGCAGAAAAAAGAAAGAAAACCGATAGATCGAAATTCCAGCACCAAAGTTACAAAAGAGAACAAAGCATTGATTGATCGTTTGTTTGTGTCTAAAAGTCAAGAGGTTTGTGTTAAACCTTTGTCTTCCTCCTTGGTACTATTATTACCGTGGAAGATGTGGTTGGTGTCGTTGTTGGTGTTGTTACTACCACTACTACTACTCAAGTACCTGCAGAGAACCTTACATTTCACTGCACTGCCATAGACATAAAACCCTGGCGTAACCATTATTCTGACCACACTAGGGACCAACTTTGAAGCCTTGTCCCCACCCATATCTTCCATGTAAACCGAATCAAAGCTAACCCCTTTGTCCACTCTGAAGATTGGCAGACTGGGGTGCACCGAGTTTGCCAGCAAGTGCACCATCCACACGCTCTTCGAGGCCCCAAAGAAGGCCTGCAACAGGGGTTCGGGCCAGGCACGGTTCCAACCCAACATCGCAACAATCTCGCTCATTTTCCTATCACAGAACCTGCTGAACTCTTCGCTGAAGTGCCTCGTTCCCTTGCTCAGAACCTCCTCCCACGTCAACCCCTGAAGCATGTTGAAGCACCGGAAACTCTCCTCGCACCGTTCAACCGGGTTCAGCACCGCGTTGCAGGCGTTCTTCTGGAACCCTATGGTTTCGAAGTCCTCGAAGAACGTTCTGTTGAGGAGGGCCTCCAGGTAGAAAAGCAGGCTTCTGGGGTTCTTTGAGAAGGAGATTTTCACGTCGTAAGGTTGGAGCAAAAACGATACTTTCTCGTACACCTTGCTTCCCATGTGCCTCAGTTGCATGGTCAAGGAACGAGAGAGAAGCTTAACGGACGATCTCGCTTCGGAAACCGACACCAAGAAGTGCTGAATCACCGCGTCCTGGTGAAGCGTTTGACTCTGTTTGAAGGGCGTGGGAGAAGAGACGGCGTTGGCGTTGGCGCATTGTTCGAGGCCGGATTTCAAGCTGTGGCAATAGAGTTCGAGCTTGTTGAGCTTCTTCTCGAGCTCCCCCATGGAATGCATGAGTCTGGAAGCTTCGAGAAGGGCCTCGTCCCGTTTCCTGGTGGCGTGGAGGAGCTTGTGAGAGAGTTCTGCCACCGCCATTTTCCACTGTTCCTCTCTGGAAGCCGGAAGAGGGTTGTGGTGCGACGACGACATGGGGCTCTTGCGGGTGAGTTTGGAGACGAGGGACCTGAAAATGCCATTGGGGCTGGCGAGGAGAGAGGACGATTGTTTTGTGTGGGAGGCATTGTGGTTGGCGGCGTGATCGAAGGGAAGTATGAAGATTTTGTCTCTGGAGTGTGGCCTGCACTTGTTGCAAGACACGGAGGAATCTTCGTCGGATTCGGATCTCTTTTTCTTGTGGGTGTTGGATTTAGTGTTGATAATGGGCGTGGGAGGATGGTGGTGGTGAGAGGGTGTGCTTCTGGTGTGCCTTGTTGTTTCTTCTCCGGCGAGTTCGTCGAATTCACGGTCCTCTTGAATCTGCAAGAAGAAAAAGGAATTTAGAAAATGAGAAGAAGGAGGAAGAAGGAGGAAGAAGAGAGAAGAAGGCACAGACGGGAGTGAAATGAGGTGATTTGGAGGAGGAAGCCATGAGAGTTTGTGTGAGAGAGAGAGAAGAGTGAGAGATTGAGCTAAGGTTGAAGAAGAAGAAGAAGAAGAATGTGGTGGTCCATGATATGAGAAACGAGTGAGAGATTAAAGATAACAATAATAAATAAGGGGTAATGAATGGAGTGAAGAGATTCAACTACTGCTATTTATTGAGAGTGCGGTGGATCACGAAACCACCAACCACGTCTCTGTCTTCTTGAGAGAGATAGCCTCAGTGCATGTGAACCTATTTATGACCTTCACTTCCTTCTTCTTAGTATGAAAATTCTACTGTATAGCTAAAATAAAAATAAAATGTTTGGATAGGGTAGAGAACGTTGTATAATGAAAATAAAATAAAAATATACATGTATAATGAAAGGAAAATGTGAGGCATTTAATGAGAGTGTGAGTGATGGGCCTCTCTAATAAATTCCATTACCAAATTCACTCTGCTCACTATAAATACTTACACTGTTCATTTATTTCTGAAATTCTCATTCACTTCTCTTGATTCATGTGATATACATATATATCACTCGATATAAAACAAAAACTCTTAATCTCAGTAACAATGGAGTCTCTGAAGGGAGGGAAGTACAACATTTTTTGCATTTAATATTCCTACATCAATCCTTAAATCAACAACCATGTCCCATGAAAAACTTAAAGCAATTACAAAAACACTGCATTGTTTTATATTTCATTGTTCATCTAATTAATACCATCTTAATTGAAGATAAAGTGTTTGTTAAAGATAAAAGAGTATGACTTCTAGTTTTTTTTTTCTGCTATTTTGAGTCAAGCAAATCTTGCTTCTACCTTTGTATTTTCTCTTTCTTTTGTACTGAGACTTTGGTACGAAACAAACGCACCATAAAAGAAGGATAGTTAAGATTGTTGGTGGTGAAGTGTGTGTGCAGATATTTTCACTTTCGATTCCGTTTTTATTTTATTTTTTGAACATTTTTTTTGTTCCTATTTATTATGTTCTCTCACAAAAAGCAGAAAAACATGTCTGTCCCAATAGAGACAAATGACAACCATTAGAAGAAGGCAAGGGCATAGATTAAGCACTGTAGCCAAACACCCAAGCCAACAAATTTCAAATCCCAAGACTTCACCTTTTGGTTTCAACACTGCTTTCAAACCATCCCAAAACAACTTCAATCAAAAGGGTAACAGTATGGAGGAGATTGGATGCCATTGCCATATCATGGGAGCATTTTTTTGTACTTTTACAAACACTTATCTTTTAGGTAACCATTCATCACGTGAGGTATGAATTTGAATTACTCTTCTGACAAAATGTATATATTAACGTCAAAATGACGACCCTTTATGGTTTCTACACAGAAAGTTTGAGCTTTTTTATCTAACTAATCGGAGATTTACTTGCCCATATGAAATGAAAAAGAAAATGCAAGTGTAATCAATCATACTAAACTCAAGTATAAAAGTCAGAGCCATTTGGTACTGTAAAAGGGATCTTACTTGTACATTCTGATTTTAATGAGCAGGAAAAGCTTTATCTATGTAGCTATTAGTGAGATATAGTGTTAGTGTAACCAAACATGTAGCTAGGCATTGGTGATAAATCACTCACTGCATGTACATGCCTAATTGAATAATCAGCCTACGGTTTAACAAAGAGGATGAAAGTGATGGTTAGGATTTAGGAGTAATGTGTAGATACTACTAAAAGAGAAACTAGTTGAAGTTGTGAACATGTAAGACTTTTCCCGTTGTGGTCGTAATATAAAGTATTATATTTGGATGTGATGGAGTGAAGGGCAAATTCCAAAGTTAAGGCATATTATAGATTCATAGGTTCACAGAAGCTACCTTCAACTGAAAGAAAAAGGTACTAAAAGCCAAAGGAAAGTGGCATTAAGTTGATAACTGTGACTTCGGTGTGTCGTTTTTACACGAGGATAGACAACTGTGCATGAAAGCAATAGATTGTGTCGTGACTCCTTCTATACTTATTATCACCATCAAGTGTATGGCCATTGTTTTACACTGCTTCAAATTCTGTGTAAGCAAATCTAACCCCTCAATCTGCTTTACACAGCTGTATTTGTTCTAAATATCTATATAAAGTCGTATCCTTCATTTTACGCCAAAAATGGATCAGCTTTCTAATATGCAGAAATCTATCTTCTACTTTGTATCATATTGTACATTATTTGAAAGTAAACGATCTTTTCCCATTGGTTAGTCTGTTTGTCTCACCACAAAAACTCACTACAATCTGAAATCTTGATTAAGGTCTTTCTTTTGATTGTTGTGAAACCCTGAAAACTTTCGTCAAAGAAATCTGTAACAAACAAAAAAGCCGACATTCCCTTTTGCATATTTTTTCTCCAATGATGTGTGAGATGGTTTAAATGTATATCAATGGTCATAATCAGCAGTCATTTTCCTTATATTAGATTTGTGATACATCGAGAGTTACAAGCTGATAGTAGTATTTCTTTTTATGCATCTTGTTAATGACAGCATGTTCAGAATTCAAACATTACACACGGCAAAGGGTATTATAGTAAGGTTTGAATAACTCCAGTGTTCGACCACAAGTGTTGATGCACATAAAAAAGCATACAAACAGCACACGAGTCTCCTTATGGCGTGCATTGACCTGCACCAACGGGCACACAACGGAAAATCGTGACTCGGCAACTCATGCTTCGGTACCATCCAAAATTCTCAATTTTGACTTTTTATTTTATTTTATGTCTTTCCTAAGGCGGATTTCTGATGCTTTTATTTACTTTGTCCAGAGGAAGAGCCCCACGTATGGGACCATTTTTTAAATCAATTCCATCTACTCTTAACCAGAGAAGTTGAGACCAGCGGTCATGGTTGTTTAACTTTTATTTAATTTAGATGGAAAGAGGTTTTCGTACGAAAGAAGTAGCAGGGACTGTTTATGTAAGACCTCTTTGTTTTAAATCAGTGACATTAACTTCAATAGAATTACTTTTAGATAGTTCGGCGGTTATCAAAACTATTTTCAAGTAAAGCACCAGGACCACGATCTACATTGTTTTGAGATCATTTCAGCACCGATAGATTTCAAATACATTTGGTTACGGGTTTTTCTCGCCTTCGAGATTGTTTCTTTTAAACACAATTATAGAGAGAAAAATTAAATTTGAAGCATATAACCAATAACCAATAATTACCGTCAAATTTCCACCCAACACATTTAATCTAGATTACATAAATATGCGGTACTCTTTTAAGTATCATGTCCTAAAGGTTGACTACAAATATCAAAGGGAGAAAAAGGTGTGAAATAAGAAACAAACAAAAGCTTTGCAACTTCCTAAGAAGTTAGAAATGAGACCAATTTCAATCTTTTCCTTTGATTCCACTATGACAGTAGGGCCCATTCCTCTTTTTGGCAAAAGAATCGCACCAATAACAGTATTACTTGCTGGATCTTAAGGAAAGGAATCTTGAACACACGCTTTCGAGCTTATTAAAATGCCGTTTTGAGCCCATATCACTGAAGAAAATTGACAAGAATTTATGTATCAGGATTGACCTAAAATGCCATTCGACCAGCCAGCCTGCTTTCGAGTATCCTCTTGTCTATAGCTGCGTCAATGGAGCTCATCTGAAAAAAAATGATAATAATGATCAGCATGTAATCATGGACCCCAAATACAACAATAAACTGAATATTCTACAGCATGGTCTTATGCAAGAGATCCAAACTCTGCGAAAGAAGCTGACCTGTGCCAAGTCTGAATTCACTTGTTCCATAAAATAAATTGTAATGATGCTACGAATGGGCAAAAATCTGATGGGTAAGACCATTTTCCACCCAAAACCCCAAACTTTGGAATCAAGCAGGGAGGAGAAAGAATAGCATTGGTAAAACCAAACCCAATAAAATCATATATACATACTCTTTTATGGTGTACATATGCTGGGATGAAAGATCACGAAGTTGATTGTTTGCAGCAAGCTTCACAAATTATGTGGTGGTAATTATAATTAATTACCAAAAGAAAATAATACAGCACCTACTTGAATATTTAGATGCCCACAAGAATTGGAGCATAGCTTGTATTGCAGCCATTCAAAATAAAATAGCATGCACTACCCATTCAGTTTTGAAACAGGCGAGGACTGTCAAAATGATCCTATTTACTTTGCCATTTATTTTACTTTTAAAAAGGATTATAAATTTATTCAGAATGTACCTTTTTAAATAGGAAATAATGTCTAAACAACTGAATCTGAAAACAGGAAGCATAAAGCCTACTCATCTGGTTAGATGTGAAAGCAACTCCGTCTATTACAGAGGTAGTATGACTTACCTGGCTACTTTCATCATGCACCTGATATTTTGGCAAAGACATTCTTCTTTCCTCCTACAGTAACCAAACGTCACAACATTACCAACAAAGAAAATATTAAAACGGAACACAGATTTTATCAAGAACATAGCTTACCATGGACATTGCCTCGTCATCCCAAACTAAGTAGACTTCGTTGGTGGCAGGTTGAGAAGCAGGAGCTTTGTTTGCAATTACTGGGGGAGGCCCAATTGAAGGACCACCAGTATTTGGACCAGAAGCATAAGTGTGTGAATTACTTGCTGCTGCACCTATATAAGAAACAAATAGTGAGAAGGAAATGAAATCACTAGAATCACATAGGATTAATCTCTAGAGAGAAAAACTAAATCTCAATAAAAAAACCCTTGTTATAAAAAACCCTCCTGCAGTTCTGAATCAAGGTATCAGTCATAATTGTTCAAAGGAAAGAAAATACAAAGGTTACCTGGAACTCCTATAGCCTGGTAACTACTTGTTACAGAAGAGTGGGTACTCAAATGTGTATCAACAGGGACATTTGTAGACATCACTGGAGTAACTGATGGAACACTTGAGGGCAGAGGTGGAGCAGAATATGTTGAACTTTGGGTCGTTGTATGGTTGTTTCCAACAACAGGGAACAAAGGTTGTGAAACTGGGACCGGTGCAGATGTAAGCAATCCAGGAGGAGCAATCTGAGTTTGCAGTGCTGCTGGAGCAGTTGCTGGCAGTGGAGGCCTGACATTCTGCACAGGAAATAATGGCTGCTGTGTGTATGGGGCAGGAGGAGGAACTGAAACAGCTGGAGGTTGTGAAAACCATGGCTGTGGTCGAGGCGGAACCACCCAAGCATTTGGTGGCAGGGGTACAGCTGGATTATAACTATATCACAGGAATTAAGCATGTGAGCAATTTTTGTGCCACTGATAATTTTAAATAAGTAAAATATGCAAGATTTACAACTTCCTCCTTGCGAGTCAAAGAAGATGAATACAAATAGAGACATTAACATAGAGTAGTAACATACACTGGTGGAATTGCAGGCAAGGCTGATCGTGGAGGATATCCTGTACCCATAGGAGGTGGCCTCATTCCACCTACAAGCTGAGTTGGTGGAATATCAACCTTGGCTGCCTTTGATGGAACATCATCCTCTGCATTAAAAAAAAAATACAAATAATTGTGAGAAAGGAGATTAAACATTTTATGTTTCTTCCTGCCAACACTAACAATATTCATAGAATGTTGTGGCCTGAGTTTCGGAGAAATACTCCCATGACAACAAAACACAATCAAGAAACAAGAAATACATACAGCAGTCACAATATATATCTGGCATGATCTTACAACAAATTAAGCAAAACATGCTTTTATAAAAAATAGGGGTATGAAAGGGAGTCAACCTGGCTCACAAGTTTTGACTCATCACATCTTGGGCTAAAAATGAGTCAACGTAAGCAGTGAGCCAGAAATTTTGTAACCTGACTCAATTCACCATGGGTTGACTTATATAAACATATTTTGTTCTCCAAACTCAATTAGGTTCATTTTTTGGTGAGCAATGATTTCATAACGCGGCTCAATTCAACATAGGTTGGTAAGTCGACTAATATTTTGTTCTCTCAAGTTATTTTATATAGTTATAGTTATTGCAATACAATCAAATGGATTGACTCGACACATCTATTTATAATAGTAGATTTAAAGTGTTCACCTATTTTAGCCAGCATCAGCATCATTATAAGGATAGTAAAGGAAAATCAAAGTGTCAACCAATATAATTGGGCAAACAAACAAATTAAGCTTTCAAACCAGTCAAACATTATTGAACGTAGGTGATTGAAAAATAACATAAGGTTGTTGTTGGTGACTTCCGGGTCAACCCACTTCTAACCCAATTCTCGCAGAACGAATTAAGTGAATTGCATTCACTTTCAGCCACAATTAAAAAATAGTATTTATTTTTTCCAACCAGACGCAGATCGATCCACAGCAGAGGGTTTTTGACACCTCTAATCCAAAAGGGTTAGTGGAAAAATAACACCCACTTCTCCGGCAAACACAACTGGTAGCTAATAAATCATATCATAAGCCAGATATGAGTGAAAAATACAAAAACCAAAAACAACTATACGCTTATGACAGAAGCCATCAGAGGATATTACCTTCTTCGCCATAATGTGCAGCCAAGATATCTGGTGGAATCCCCTGCATTCCATATATTTCAATATCTGTACTCTCTCTGCCAGGTTTTGCATTGGGCACCCTGATAAAGAATAAAAAAAGAAAATCAAAACAATAAATAACAAGGAGCAGAACAGTAATATTTTATCAAATCGCATAAAATTTACCATCACCCACACTCTAAGAAGCAAATCTCTTGATTAAAGTACCCCCCTATCTTAACACCAAAATATCCATTCAGGGATAGATCATTAGAATTCAGCCGAAATCAAACCACCATACAGCCAATCAATCCCTCATATTCCTTAAACATAATCCAATCATAACATCTACTACATTTCTAGCAAGATGTAACAATAAGGCGATGGTTAGGGGTACAAATTACATTAACTCTCTTTCTTCCTTAAAGTGTGACTTACGCTATAATAAAAAAAAATGCAAAGCGGGAAAGAAAAAAGAGGGAAATAGTGATATACTTGGTGACCGATTCCTTGTGGACCTGGAGGACGTGAATGGCCATGCCGCTGGCAGTTGAG